CATAGGGAGGGTTGAAGGATGGGCCAGAAAGGGGCCAATGAGAGGTGACAGGGGCAAGAGATGTGAAGGAGAGGGTTTGTCACCAGCGTGCCTACAGGGCCCTGTGGGCAAAGGGACCTTGGCTGTGAGGAGCCACGGAGGAGAACATGCTGGCTGCTAAGAAACCGCTGGGGAAACGGGGAGCAAAGATGAGGCAGGATCCCTCTGCTTTCACTAGGCTTCCTGGAACACAGCATTGCTCTCTTCCAGACAGAAAGCGGAGCCAGGTGGTGTCACCTCTGGGGTGCAGTGCCCTCCACGGCCCCTGGAGGTCTGGGGGTGAGTGATGATAGATGGGGCAGGCAGAGGTGGGCAATGCAGGGTCCTGCGAGAAGGTGCTTCAACCGATGGGAGTTCTGAATCTGGTTCCCATTTGTGGACTCTCCACTTGCATCCCCACGTGGGCATGTGCATCCACATCCAAATAGACTTATAGAGCAGATCACAACCGAGGGGGTACCTGTTACAGCGTGGGCAGAGCCTGTGGAGGCTGTAGTACCTGAAATGAAAGAACAAGAGCATTAGCAGTGCTGACCCGTGACCGTCACTAATGCATTGCTGTCCTTGCTGGTTGTGTGGTTTGGGCTTTCCTCATCTTCTGTAGGAATGCCTTTGAAATACATGATTTCCCCCAAAGCATTAGCAAAGAGGTAGGAGCAGACGCTGAGTGCAAAACTATCAGGTTCTGAGTAAATTAGTACTGGAGTTTATTCAGCCAAGATAAATGCCCTCCTCACAAGATGGAGCTGAACGCTTCCAGGAGCCATCTTCCTCTGTTACAGGGAAATGAAAGGCCATGTAAACCAGCGGGTCGTTCCCTCCCCGCCACCTCTTTGCCTCCAGCTCAGTCTCGGTGGAGAAAGGCTGTTTGACCTGTGTTCTGGAGCTGGTTAAAGAGCACGGGTTTGAAGAGCTGGTTAAGACACACAATAGATGAGGTTTGTAAAGGCTTCCAGAGGCCGATGGGACTGTTTTCCTTCTTGTCTCCTACCTCTGATCCTTCTGTCCTACATATCTGCATCCCGGGAAGCTGGCTGAAGCCTCGTGGCTGTCCAAGTCTGGACACAGCGAGGGGGCTGCAGCGGGGGGGACTGACTCAGAGCTGCCTTCCCTGGTAGTGGTGGGTAGTCCTGTAGGTCTGTGCAAGGCTTTGCTCTCCCAGGGTTGTAGGTGTTGCACTGAGCCCCTAGTTTCTCAGCTGAAAGGTGTTTTTCTTTGGTGTTTTTTTGATGTTGTTTGTTTTTTTTTTTTTCCCTTTTGTATTTATGACAAAGCATCCCTGCACCAATCCCCATGTCGCTTACTCTCAGGATCCTGGTGTTTTTCTTTAAGCCCCGGCTCCTGGAGTCCTATGGTTAGGTGAGATGCCAATTAAAAATGCCGCCATTTAGAACACAAAAAAGAAACGTCCAGTTCCCGTACCTGGGGATGAGAACTGGAAAGCGTAAATGCACTTTAAATGCTTAAATCAAACCCAACTTGTTCAACTTTGAAAAATGTGATTTCGAGGCTTGTCGTTTTGGAAACGCACATCCCAACTGGCATTTTTAATTGGTTATTGCTGGTAATCCTGGTGCTGCCTGTAGTTAAGGGTAATGAAAGAAACTACATTACAGCCACAGAAACCAGCCGAATCTGATCCCACCGGCGATCCGCCTCCCCAGAGTCCCACGAGAGCTCAAGGTTTCGCACAGAAAGGGCCAGCAGTGAAGGCTGAATCCTCCCAGCTCGCTGTCCCCTCGTCCTGCCGCCCAGCTCCACCGCAACAGCGGTCCGTGATGCGGGGCAGTGCCTTCGCAGGGTGCTGCGCCGGGCTGGTGGGGCGGCAGGAGGGGAGGTCCGGCCGCGCAGCGCTTGTGCGCCCGTTTGCAGCCAGAGCCTGTCCTCCCTCTGCGCCAGATTCGTCTCACCTGCTGCTTTGCGCCTCTCGTGAGCCGGCCTGCGAGAGAGCTCATCGCCAGCCGCTCTCTCTCGCCAAAGAGAGGACCAGACGCTTCTAAAACGCTCTTGCTCTGACCCATTTCAGATCTCTACTTTACCACCTTCCCTTCCCTGTTTGGGGTTTCCACCTTCCTGCAGCTGTGCCTAGCGGAGCCGTAGAGGAGCCTGCAACATCCCACTTCGTACCAGGAGCCGTAGAGGCGAGGTGGGTGATGACCCTCGTGGTAGGTTCTGATCTGTAGGTGTCTGGAAGAGGTCCGATGAGTGCCCTGATAGTGGCGTGCATCTGGCACGAGCTCTTCAGCATCAGGCTTGTGGGTTATCGGGGCTTGGCTCAGAGCTCACCCTGGGGACGGCCTGGGTGTGGTGAGCTCCTGATTGATGTCATTTTTCTCACCTAACTGCGTTGGAGCGGGAATTGTTTTGGTTTTTTTTTTTTTGTCTGAGGCTTTATGACAATGATCCCAGCCAAACAGGAACCAAAACGTCGTGTAAACTACGGTGAATGCATAATGAGACGTGGGCTCTTTCCAGATAGGATTTGGCTCTGAAAATCAGACCTGACTTTTCAGATCTCCACGCTTTTCTCTTCTAGCTTACTGGGCAGCAGGCTGGTGAAACTGTCTTGTTTAGTCCATGAAAGAGGAGATACAACCAGATTTTTAATTACATAGAGAGGAAGGGACTAATTGGTTTTCTAAATCCGTTGGGAACAGGACCAGAAAACAAGGACTTTTAACTGCAGCAAGGAAAAGGGAGGCTGGGCAATAGGAAACTGCCTTAACGTAAGGATAGGGAGTTGCCAGGAGTGGTTGTGTAGGAGAATTACGGGCTGTCCTTCTCTGCAGGTTTTGAGGAGCGGTTAAATGAGCATCAGTCTAGCCGCGTAGGATTATGGGCGGATGTAACATCGCTTACTAAATCAACTACTATAATGGAAAAGAAGATCTTTTGGGCACACCGTTGCCCTTCTTAAAGACGTAAAAGTGCCTCTTTTGAGGAAGGGGGAATCACCTCTTCACGGCCCTGTCACCTGGGATGCTGTGGGGCACTGCCTGCTCCCCGGGGCCCCAGCTGAATCCGTGGAGAACATGAGGTGACTTGGGCTGTTTCCATCTATCCCAAGGGTTTGCCAAGTTTTCTCTTTGTTGCCGGGCTTCCTCTTCTTAAACAGCTCTACAACACAATTTCTGGACGTCGGTTTGCAAGCGCCTTAATGTACTCTATACGTTCAGCACGAAAAATAATGTGCTGAGATCATCGTGGGGGCCGATATCCTCCAACAGCTGCCAAACTCAAACAGCTCCTCTTTCTCCAAAATTCCCTTGCAGAAGCCATTGTCTTGTTTTCCCGTGGGGAGAAGTAGCTGCTTATAACACATTTTCTTCTTGAAATTATCAGAGGTGCTTTTTAGTGCACATGGCATGTGAAAGCATCAGGAATCACTGAAGAAAGAGCTATTGTCTACACTTAGTCTTTGTTGAAGGAAAAGGGGAATAAAGGTGCTGAGCGGGGCTTTTATGTCACCATTTTTGGGGCAGCTGAGGAGAAATCAGAGCTTGAACAGAGCCTCTGGGGATGGGAGGGAGCTGAGGGCAAGGGAGATGACATTGCCCTCTACTGCCATCCCTGATGGGACCGTCCCTTGGCGTAGCTCCGGCATCCCTGGTGCTAGGGCAAGAGGAAGAGGATCGTACCCAACGCTTTCTTCCACCACAGCTCAACCCTTCGTCTGAAGGTCACACCGGAGCGCTGGCTCCTCAGGAGTTCTCAGTTTCCAAAGCTAAACCTTGGGGTCATTGTAAATAAGGTGAATAAGCCGTTTTTTTTTTCCTCAGTGCTCAGTCCCTGGAATTCCCCTGGCCAAGTAGATGCTCGCCCTGGCCTGCCACGTTTGAGCTTTGCTGCGGAGAAGTGACCAGTCTTGCTGTGAAGAGGCCAAGGGAGGGAGATCCCTTTTGGCGCTTCCCTCAGGAATAAACGGCCCTGGCTTCCCTCAACCCGACGGCGCGTTATTTCGAAGCGGAGTGGGTCTGGCTGTGACTTCTGGCCACGGCTGCTGGTTGTGCCTTCCCGGCCAACTCAAATAATCAAAAGCCCCGTTACGTTGGGTGTTTGCTTTTGGAGAAGGGGCTGAGTTACAGCGGAGGGGGACGGGCAAGAAGGGGCCCGAGCCACGTCGCGGGCCTGGGCAGCAGGAGGGGGACGGACCAAAAAAAGCGCCACGCGTCGCGGCTCCCTGCAGGCCTCCCCGGGGGGACTCGCGTGCGAATGGTACTGGAAACCGTTTCCTCCCAGTGCCGCTGCCAGCACGGCCCCGCTCCCCTCCGCGGAGGGCCCTGGCTATATAAACAGCTAACGATAATAACCGGGAGGCAGCCAGCGCAGCTGGAAGGGCAATAAACATCCGAGCCGGTCGAATGACTCGCCCCTGAGCGTGAGCACGGCCAAGATGTTTGCGGCGTGTTTGGGTGCCAGTGATTTACAGCCGGATTGTGCAGCTCTAGGTGGAGACGGGGAGCTTGCTGAGGGATTTATGATGGGAAACGCGGCTTATCTGCTCTTGCTGTAGTGGGAAACGCCTGATTACCCACCAGAGCCGTGGGGCTGCGGAGGAGCGCGTTGGAGCTGCAGGTGCATTTCAGCTCTGACTCAGAGCTTGCTGCTTTTCGGTTCGTTTTTTCCTAGGGGATGAGCAGGGGAGTTTTGTATTTCTGTTATTTGCAGTACTACCTCTGTGAGGTTAGGGTGAGAGCAGAGGGGTCTTTCCCTTCTTTCCTGCCTTCTCCCTCCCATGGCAGCTGAGATGTTCCCAGAGCCAGCAGCTCACCCTGCTCGCTCCTCAGCACAAGAAGAGAATGGTGTAAACCAAAAAAAAAATTAAAAAGGTGAATTTTAGGTATTTCTGCTTTGGTGTGATTTTTGGCGATGATTTAAAGAGTGGTCTCTCCAGCTGTGGACCAAAGAGAGGCACTGACATTTAAAACCCCCAAACTCTACATCAGAGCCTCCGTACAGCAGCACTGCTATAGCAGAGACCTGCGCCAGCTGTTGGAGACCCTTCAGCAGGGTTTGGGTGAGGCTGGAGAAGGGCTCGTGCTGTCCGGGGTGTGTTCATAGAGGGATGGAGTCGCAGGGGAGGACCTCTGGCACTGGTATGAAGGCACAGGGACTGGGACTGGTCCTGTGCGCTCAGAACTGGTGATGGAGAGGGACCATCTCTCCCCGATGATGTGTAACCCTGGACTCGCTGGGCTCTTCTCCTTCCCCGGCAGTTTTGAGGGGGAGATGCGGTGATGTCCTAGACGTACCCAGGTAGCGCCTTGCGTGGCAGGGGACACACGTGGCGTCGTGCAGCCTTGCTGGACCGACCTCGGCGTCACCCTCTGCTTGCAGGTTGCATAAACAAATGCTTCCAGAAAAAAAGACCTAGCCACCTAAAATTAGACTTTTCGGTTCGTATATTGGCACTTCGGTCAAACGACCCACGACAAAAATACACCGAACCGCTTAACATAAATGCAGCTGTTTCCTGGGTGAAACACAGCAGCTGCTGAAGCAGCAGAGAGCAACAACACCCAATTCTTGGGGCTTTCACATGGAAACAAAATCCTGTAGTAGGAAACCTGGAAAGCAGAGAGCTCTGCAAAGGCCTAGGTCCCGTTTTACTAAGTGCCTAAAAAAAAAAGGTGCCTCTGCCTTGAGGGTCTCACAGCAGGACAGGTAAGGTGGAAATTGTGGAGGAGAGAGAGGAAAATGGTGGTTAGGCAGGCCGGATGACTGACAACCTAAATCAGGTCCCAGAGCCACAGAGGTATTTAAGCATCTAATTCCCAAATGATATGGGGGGGGAGGGGGGTGTTGGCAGCTCACTGCTCGCTGCCAAGTGGTTCTGAATTGTAACGACTTGGCCAAAGCGTTATGGAAAGTTTAGAGAGCCAGGAATTAAACCCGGATCTGGCCAGCAATTAAAATGAATCGTAGCCTTCCTCTGCCCCTCCTCAAGGGCTGCACCCAGGCCTGGGCATCCTCTCTCAGCATCACGCTCCGTGCTTCTCTCTGGTGAGCTGTTCTGGAAGCAGATCTCAGCGGAAGTCAATTAAAAACCACTTGAACGTAGACAACGAGCTGGGAGCCGAACAATGCGGGGAAACGGCGTGCGCAGAGCGGGCTCTGCCCCATCCCTGTGAGTGCTGAGGTCTGGTTTTGCCAGGAAAAGCGGCTGCTCCTGGAAGAGCAAAGCGGTGGGGCATTTCCCCTGGCTGCACCATCACTGCTCCGTGGTGTTGGGGGAGAAACACCTGCTCCGTTAGGCCGCTGCGCCGTCACCCTCCCAGCTGCTTACTGGTTCCAGTTTCCTCTGCAACTGGCTTGGTTTAGAGTTCTCTGTTCGCTCCCGGGCTCTGTGGGTCCTGCCCTTCTCCTGGCGACACTGCTTTTAGGGGTGACCCTAGGTCTGGGGTTTTGGAGGAGGAAATTACTCCGTTCCCCCCAAATAAAAGATGGGGACCACCTACCCAGGCTCAGTGGGAGCTGGAGCCCAGCGGGTGCTTTTTGCCAACCTACAGGGTTTTTTTTAAAATAATGTTATTCATCAGCAGATCTCAAAGCACTTTACAGAGGAGAGGGACAGTGTTAGCTCTGCTCTGTTTTCGGTAGATGGGGAAACTGAGGCACAGAGACAGCACCCCAAGTCGCAGGCTAGTTCAGCAGCGCTGCTCTCGCCCCTCGATGGGGCTCCCAGCCAAGGTCCTGCCGTGCCACAGGCCACCTCGCAGGTGGTCCTCAGCAATTTGTATGGTCTTGTTCCGAAGGTCGTGTGCTCCAGCCGCTGAAGATCAGCTGCTCTACTTGCCCGTCCACGACACCTCCGGACAGACGCCCGCAGAGCCCCGCGACAGCACGGGCGTTCTCACCCCCTGCGGCAGCACAGCCAGCGTGGTGGATCAGCGGTAGGCGCCTACCAGACACGTCTTGCCTCCCCTCCGAGTTCATGGAGGCTCTTTACTATTATTTACAAGTTTATCCCCAAGTTTGTTATTATTTCCAGTAATTTCAAGATTCCCCAGTTTTATTTGGGCGTCGCTGGTGCTAGCCGGGCTGTGTGGTGTTTGTGAACCACCCTGCAGGACCCTGATCTGCTGGGACCAGCTCAGCTCCCGCCTTGCGATTCAGGTGGGTGAGGGGCTGGTGGCGCAGGGGTTCCTCGTGATTCCTGTTCTTTCCCACTTTCCTCAAGTCTCCTGGCTTGCACGCCGGGGCAGCGGCTGAAGGGCTGGATGCGGTCGTTTCGGCACATCGGTGCTG